GAGGGGCATAGAGGGGCGGGGCCAGGCCCTGGAACTTTCTGTATACTTGCCTCGTTGGGGTGCTGCTATCAGGCCCTCCCCCTCCGCGCCTCCCACACTGCATTTCTGACCGTTTCTTCTACCCAGATTGTCCACAGCCTGTTTCCACCTGTGTCCTGCTGATGCCCAAACAGTAGCTCCAGCGACCACCTGCCCTGAGCACAGTTGCCTCCTCGGTGCACATTCACCATGTACAAAGAGAAATCACTTCCCTCTCCCAGGTGGCCTCTTTTCATCCACTAGTGCCAAAGGTGGACACAGTTTGACCCCCGTCCCTCACCCCGTCCTATCTACCTCCCAACAGTATTCACAGCTGCCCATGCCATACCTGGACGAGGCTGTGGTCTTCTAGTGGGTCCCCAGGTGCACCCATGCAGCAGCCAGGCTGAGCTTTCACATGTGACATCATCAGAGCCTACTAACCCTTGCTTCCCACCCTTGGAAGGCTCCTTGTCCATGATGGTGGCCACCAAGTCCCTCCAGATCCTGACCGCTGCCATAGACCTCAGCCCTCTGCCCAGGCCTTGCCTCGCCTTCCTGGGTGTATATTCCCCCCAATTCACAGAGCTCTCATGCTCAGCACATGGGCATCAGCCACCTTTCCTGTCCTTGGCCACCTTTGCCCAGGCAGAGCTCACCACCTGCTCCCCTGGCCCTTGACCATGTGTGCAATGAAGGGTCCATCTTCCTATCAGTCTGAGCACGTGCCCAGCCCAACTCAATTCTGGATCTTTAGTGCCTGGAAATAAGAGGCTCCTAGAAAATTTTGGTTAAGTGAATGAAAGTGAACATGAAAAATAAACTTGTCTCAAAGAGGCAGACATGGGCTCAGAAATGGCCAGAAACCCAGCCAGGCTCCAATCTCTCCTTCAACACTCCTCACTGGAGGCATTTTCCTGGGGCACAGGGTTGATGACTCGATGAGGCCAGGGCTCCTTCCATCACAAACCAAGCTGCCAGCTTCTGACCTCCCGCTGAGGGAGCCATGCAGGCGCAAACCCTGACATTTGTCTTCTAGGGAGAGAATGTGTTCTTCTTGGTGACCAACTTCCTTGTGACGCCAGAACAAGTTCAGGACAGGTGCCCAGAGGTAAGGTTTGCTGGGAGCCTTCCAGCGGGTCCCCAGTTCCTCTTCTAGCCCTGAGTCACCAGTCATGTCCTCCCTTCTCCCTCCCAGGGTGACTGAGGGCTCAGTATGTGCTACTGTATTCCAGGCACTGGGATAAAATTTTGTGTGAATAATTTCATTTAGTTTTCACAAGTATGCTGCCTGGTAAGAATTACTGCAATTCCTCCCAGCCTTTGGGTGACCCCAAGAAAGCTCACCACCTCCCCTTTCTGAGCTCATCCCCAGAACTCTGTGACTGTGTGCAGGCGTTAATGACCATGTTTTACTGAAGAACAGGCAGGGTAGGGCCTAGCCTGTGGGGTCCTACTTCCCTACCCAGGCCCCTTGGACTAGGGTCCTGTCCTTTGTCTGCCACGCCCAGTGCCTCCAGCATGAACTTACCCTTCCCAGGGTCCCTCCACCATCCCTGTTGCGTGATCTGAATTGGGATCAGAGGAGCCGGGCATCGATGAGTCACTTCTGCCCTGACCAGGGACAGAACTACCAGGCAGAAAAGGGTCTTGCCTTGCCTTGGTGTACAGCACCTGCATTCCATCTGGCCAGGGGCTGCTCACCCTCCCTGCTCTGACTACCTCCTTCTATTTACAACCTCCAGCTTTTCCATGTGCCCCAAACCCAGGGAACCTTGGGGGACTAAGGCAGGTGGGACAGGTTATGGTGGACTGCAGAGCTAAGTCACCCACTAGGCCCTTGACAACTCTGCTCTCACCCACCTCAGCACCCCTCCATCCCGCTGGCTAACTGCTGGGCCCATGAAGACTGTCCTGAAGGGGAGACCGGGACACACAGCCATGGTAACTGTGGGTCCTGTCTTCCAGTGCTTCTACTTGGAACGGGGTTAGGGGGGGCAGGCTGGGACCCTGGGAGGCTTTTGAGTGCAGGCCTGGCAGTGCCTCTGCATGTCTCCTTCTTGTCAATAGCCCCTTGTCCACCCATCTCCCACTTCAAGCCTAGAGTTTGTCTTGTGTTTTCAAGGCATAAAAACGGGCCAGTGTGTGGTGTTCAACGAGACCCATAGGACCTGTGAGATCCAGGGCTGGTGCCCAGTGGAGAGCGGCACTGTGCCCATGTAAGTCTCCCCCAACTCCCAAAGCAGGGTCCCAGGACTGGCAGATCCTTCCCCTAACCTCCCCCCAACCCACAGAAAGCCCCTGCTGCTCCAGGCCGAGAACTTTACACTGTTCATCAAAACTACTATTACTTTCAGCAAATTCAACTTCTCCAAGTAAGTGTGGGAGGCCAAGTAAGTGTGGGTCCTGGCAGGCCCCAGACCCTCCTTATCACCATCCTGGCCTGACCTTCCCTCCCCTGGCTCTCTCAGGTCCAATGCCTTGGAGACCTGGGACAACGCCTATTTCAAGCGCTGCCAATATGATCCCCTCTCCAGCCCCTACTGCCCGGTGTTCCGCATCGGGGACCTCGTGGCTGCAGCTGGAGGGGTCTTTGAGGACCTGGCATTGCTGGTGGGTCTGTGGGAGGCAGGGTTGTGGGAGGACTCAGGGAGAGGGTCGGAGCCTGTGTGACAGCGGAACATTGGTGTGCTGTGTGCAGGGAGGTGCTATAAGCATCCACGTCCTCTGGGATTGCAACCTGGACACCGGGGGCTCTGAATGCCGACCCCAGTACTCCTTCCAGCTGCAGCAGAGGAGCTACAATTTCAGGTGCCACTGCCACAGCCCCCAGTGCCCACGTGCTGCTCCTCAGGCAGGTCCACCTCCACCTGCCTTCCTGGGGAGGTCAGGACAGACCCAGCCCAGCCCTCTATATGCTCCGCTCTGTATAAGGGGGGGGGTCCCAGTTGCAGGAGGGGGTATTCTCAGCTGCGGGACCCCCAGCACAGACCCTGTGTAACCTCCCTCCTGAGCCCTTTCCCTTTCACCCCATCTGTCCCCACACCCTGTGTTACAGCTGGGACCCCTCGCATCCAGCCTCCCTTCCACCCACCCTGTCCCCAGCATCTCCCCTCCACAGCACAGAGGCCTTTCTTTTTCACATTTCCCTTAAGGTTTTATTTTTAAAATTTTTTAATCTATAGAAAAGGTCAAAGATTAGTACTGTGAATACCCACACGCTCTTCATGAAGGTTCACCGGGGTTTTTCGTTTGTTTTTACCATTTTGCCACATTTGCTTCTCCCTCCCAGATATATTTAGATAAATTTCAAACGCAACCATTGAAAAGTAAGTGGCAGACATCCAGACACTCACCGCCCCCTCAACACTGTGCTGAGAATGTGGACCTTCCCCATGGGACCACTGTCCTATTGTCATACTCGAGAAATTTAGCAGCAGCAGAATAAATCTCATATTTAAATTTCCCCAACTGTGCCAGTAATGGTCCTAAATCTTTTTATTTTCCAATCAGGAAGCAGTCAAGGACCTTGCTTGGCATTTATTGTCTCTGTCTCCTAAGCAGACCTCCCCTCCCCTGCCCAGCATCCTTCTGCCACCTCAGGTCACCTTCTCACTGTTGCTCAAATGCATATGTGCACACGGCCACCAGGCCTGGATATGATGCTCCTGACGTTGCTGCCTGGCCTGGCTCCACTGATCTCCCCAGCCTTTTGCAGCTCTATGGGGCTGGCTCCCTGCCCACACCCTGCTCCCCTCACCTCTGTGCTCTCTCACTGGCCCCACTTTCTCTGCCTAGAACTCCTTCCTGAAGCCTGAAAAACAGCCCGAAAATCTCCCCTGCAAGAAACCTTCCCCGATTCCTAAGGGAGACTGTGTTCCCCCCTCTGGCTGCTCACAACCCTGGCCTAACCTCCCTCACCCCCCTCCACTGCCAGTGTCTGTTTAGAAACTCTTCTTCTGTCCCTGTCCCCTCAGGAGTCAGGGAGCTTCTGAGAGGCAGATCCTGGTTTGCTTTCCCCCTGTGTCCTCAGCAACAATACAGAGCTGAGACCCAGGATTTGGGGCTGGGGCTAGGGGTTGATGGAGTCAATGGATGAGCACAGTGGAGGCCTGGGAGGGCCAGCCCAGCCTGGGAGAGGGCAGAGCAGGTCACCAGACTTTCTCTTGCCCACAGAACAGCCAATCACTGGTGGAAAGCCTCAGGTGTGGAGGCCCGGAGCCTGCTTAAGCTCTATGGGATTCGCTTTGACGTCCTGGTTACTGGGCAGGTAGGAGGGGCTGGGTGGGGTGGGCCAGGTGCGGGTGGGAGGAGGCGACAACCATGGCCTGAGATGCTCAGCCCAGGTGTCTCTCAGGCAGGGAAATTTGGACTCATCCCCACGACCATCACTTTGGGCACCGGAGCAGCTTGGCTGGGCATTGTGAGTGTGGCCAATGTGGCCTCCCTCTGGCTGCAGACAGCCCATGCCCAGACCCGCCTGCATGCACACTGAGCCCTCTCTGCCTGCTGCTGGGTCTTGGAGTGAGGGTTGGGGAGGTGGCAGGAGGGCAGGCTGGGGCAGGGACACAGGTCTACCCTGCCTCTCCTAGATCACCTTCTTCTGTGATCTGCTGCTGCTGTACGTGGGTGGAGAAGCCCATTTCTACTGGACAACCAAGTATGAGGAGGTGAGCTGTGGGCCTATTCTGCCGTCAGGTGCTGCTGCACTTGGAGGATGTTGGCCAGAGCCCCAACCTAATGTCCTCATCTGTAGGCAAAGGCCCCGAAGGTGACCGCCGAGCCTGAACAGACAGAGCCGGTCTCTGCACCCCCAAGCCCAGCTGCCCAGGTGGCTTAGAGGAGGCCCACCACCTGCCCCTATGGCCCCTGCTGCTGCTGGGAGCCAGACACTGATGCCAGGGTGGCCCTTCCCTGGCTCTGGTCCCCACTTGCTGGCCCATTCTTGAGGCCCGTAACCATTCCCTGTGGCTGGGAAGGGTGGGGTCCCACCTTGGGGACCTCATGGATGAAGACACTGTAGAACCAGGGTGTGGGTAGGGGGAAACTCTACCTTCAACTCCCAAGCAGAATGCCCCTCCCCTGACTCCAGCCTTGGCAGGGTGCTGCCTGGGAAGCAACAGAAGCCAGTTTTGCACAGAAATCTGCAGTGGAACAGGAGCCATGGAGAAGGGTAGAGCCCTGGGCACCACGTGGCAGGACGCTGGTGGGGCTCCAATGGGGCTCTTGCTATGTCTGTGTCTAGAGAACTCTTTCCTAGGCTCTGTCCCCAGTGCTCCCAGCAGTGGCCCACTCACCAGCTGTCAGCTCTGACCTTCTCACTGACTAGCTAACTCCAGTCCTGCCTGGCTTCTTCTCCCTGCCAGCACCCCCATCACAGGCAGAGCTCCCATCCTCTCAGCTGTGCTGCACTGGGGGCTGTGTGGCCAGAATCCACAGCAAGGTAGAAGGAAGCCTGACAAGATGGGCTGTCTCTGTTGCTTTGGTGCTGCGTTGCGGGGGGTGAGGTGGGGGGCGGGCAGGTCTCACCTAGACTTGGGCTTCGTCCATGAAAAGGGCAGTGGGTTGGGCAGATGATCCAACCCACCAGGACCTTAGGCAAGGGCACAGGCATCTCTTGGGCCTATACCTGCTCAGTTTATGATCATCTGGGTCTTTATGACCTTCTATATTGCCTTGGTGAACCTTCAAGCCCAGACCCCTGGAACCTGTTCACTGGGCTTCCTGGGAGCCATGAGGGTAGGGAAGATGTACATCTGAAATTCAGTCCTTCCCAATGTCATGACTAAAAACCTGTTGACTATGACCCCAGGTAAAGCCCAGTGGCTGAAAGAATGTCCCTAACAAAGGACACTGAAGCCCCAGCAGGTTGGCCTGGTTTGGGCTCTGGAATCCATCTGGGGTCTGTGTCCTGCCTATGGGAGAATTTCTCCAGGTCTGGGAGATCCACGGTCAGAAGGGGAGGCACGGGGGCTACATGAGTCAAATCCTCTCTTAGTCCCAGGGAAGGGGCAGGGACTTGGGAGTACTTACCCCAGGGAGATGAGGGGCTGCTTCTTCATGGCTCCCCGGTGACCAGGGGTGTGCTAGCAACTTGCCAATGGAGTGACATGGACCAGTTGGAGAGGGCTGGGAGGGGGCTCAGGCTGGGTTAGCATCTGGAATCATCTGGCGCCCAGAACCTCAGCAGAACCTTAGGTCCCTGCTGACTCTCAACCCCCAGAGCAGTGTGAGGCCTTGTTATTGGAGCAGGGTCACATGTACTGTACCTGGTTGTCCTCGGGGCCCAGAGAAAGCCGATGACATGACTGCAGGAAGTCAAGAAGTAAAGCCTGCCAAAGCCAGCAACCTCCTGTGTGGTTCTTACAGGCAGGAATGGGGGAGTTGGAGATGTCTGTAGTCGACATAGCACAGTCTAGGGGAGACCAGTGGGGGAGGGGCAGAGTGGGCCTGGGAACCGTGAAAGGCCTGGGGCATCACAGCCATCAAGTGGGCTGGAGGGTACTTGGAGCAGATCCAGGCGCTTGTGCACCCATACTTAAGCGTATGTACCATACCCATGTACCTTCGCAAGCATTTATCGAAAAGCCCTTGAGGGAGTGGGCAGAGAGAGAAAATGAGCACCAGCTGTGACAGCTGGGACTGAATTTGGAAACAGGTATGGCCTCAGTCTGCACCCAGGGCAGCTGTGTAGATGATGCAGGCATGTGCCTGAGAGGTGTTCGTGCCCGGGCACGTGTGCCTTGACATCCCTGAGTAGGCTGCAGGCACACACCATATCCTCTGGGAGCCCTGGAAACTAAGGCGCTGAGGAACCCTGAGCATGGGCAGGCCTGCAAACATGAGCTGCCCCAGGCAGAGGGGCCTCCCAGGTCCTCTGGCTTCCTGGGGAGGTGGAGGAGGGTGGGCAGGCCCCCAGCTGTCCTCATGGACCGGAGGGATGCTCCTTGCAGCTGGGCTCCTGGGCCAGTGTCTGGCTTTGGGGCTGCAGGACCTGCACCATCTCCTCCAGGCTGCCGCTGGGGAACAACATGTAGTGTGTGGCAGCCAGCTGCTACAGCTCCTGCTGGTTCTCCTTGCTGTGCCAGATACCATAGCCAAAATATACCATGAGTCCTGCGCAAGCCTGAGGGCCAGGTCCCAGCCCTTTGCTCTCCTTGCCCTCCTTGGTCCCAGCCTAGCCCACGCTCGCCAGTGAGCAGCAGATGGAGAAGCAAAGCCAGGTCAGGTAGGTCAGCCTCAGCATGAGGCAGATGTTGAGGAGGCTGCTCAGGGCTGGAGTCAGGGGCACCAGAGGGATCTGAGAGAAAGGGCAGGGCTGGGCTGCAGTGGCCCCGGGCAATCCCTGACTTCTCCTGTGCAATGGAGCCACCCTCATACATTGGCGAGTGAGCGTATAGCTTTTGGGAGTGTTCTATGAATTGGCAGAACTTGTGCTGGCTGTTCTGAGCCTGTAGCTATATTCAATGTCCTGAAAGGAGGCAAGCAGACTCCTAGGGACAGCCTACAGCTCAGGAGATCCACTAGGGCACCTCAGATGCCAATGGCAGCCCTTCCTAGCCTAGAAGTACCTTGTAGGCCTGGAGGACCCTGGGGAACCACAACAGCAGCCTCCCATTCATGGATAATCAGTGAGAGGTACCATGTCCTGAGAACCTAGTCCATGCCAGTCCCCACACCATGGGCAGTCCCTGTTGTCCCATCCCATGGCCATCACAACCTTCCCTCAGGCTTATTTATTCCTGGGGCTGAGGAGTCTTTGTCCTTCTGCTCTTCCCACTTCATTGAAAGTGAAAAAGTTGGTGTGACAACATGTTAGCTTGTTCACAGCAAAATGGTGGCAATTCATTCAAGCAAAGCAAAACCAAAACAGATATCCTCTTTCCCCAGAACTTTATACATGTTTCCAGGTTTATGGAATAGAATTTTAGGGTAACGTATAGCCTGTCTGGCTTAATGGGATGCTGATAGTATGATAGGATAGTGGACTCGTAGACAAGATAGTGCCACTTGGAACAGTGCCTTGGCCAGCCCTCTTGGTCCCTTCTGATATTTGCTTGAGGAACTTCTCAGCTGGACTCCCTCTTCCTGCAGGAATCACAACTCCCTTAATCCTCCCATGTGGCCTAAACATAACAGGGCAGATGTTCCTTGTTCTGAAATGCCTTCACAAAAGTCTAGACAAATGCATTTCAAGCCAAAAGACGGGCAGTTTTGTATACCAGAGACACAGTTTCTGTATACAGGAACTCCCCTAAAGCCTTACCAATGACCACCTGAGAGCTGGTGTGCAGTGTTTTGGAGCAATGACTTCATCCAGCCAGAGAAGGGTTCTCACCATACCCCCTCTCACAGGCACCTACAGTGGACACATGAGGCCAAGCATGGATGGCATGGTGAATGGTTGGGACAAGTGCAGGGACCCCACTGAGCAAGGCAGTCACACAGAGCAAACCCACGAAGATGTGGTGAAGCTAAAGCTCTGAAGAAGAAGCAGGCAGGTGGAAGATGAATACTCTACAAGGCCAGGATTACCCTGATGCCAAACCCAACAAAGACATCACAAGAAAAGAAAACTACAGGCCAAGATCCCTTACGAAAATACTAGCAAACTGAATCCAGCAACATATAAAAAGGACCAAGTGTAAATTCCCCCAGGAATGAATGCAAGGTTGATTTAAATAGGGAAGTCACCCAGCCGGGCGTGGCTCAGCGGTTGAGCATCGACCTAGGATCCAGGAGATCGAGGTTCGATTCCCAGTCGGGGCACATGCCCGGGTTGCGGGCTCAATCCCCAATGACTCTCTCATCATTGGTGTTTCTATCTCTCTCTCCCCCTGCTGCCCTCTCTCTGAAATCAATATATACATACACACACACACACATACTATATATACATATATATATATATGGTTTTTTTTAATTGAGAGAGAGAGAGGAAGGGGGGAGAGAGGGAGAAACATGGATGAGAGAGAACCATCAATCTGCCTCCTGCACCCCTACTGGGCATGTGCTTTGCACCAGGAATTGAACCAGCAACCTCTCTGTGCATAGCACGATGCTCAACCAACTGCACATTGGCCAGGGCTGTTTTGTTTTTGTTTTTTATTTACTTTAGTTCTTTCCTATATTCTCTATATTTAACTCCTTTTTGGTCCTGCCCCCCAGAGGAGTCAGAGCCAACAGCAGTTGTGTGGGCGGTGTGCCAATCAGGACTCTGTGCGTTGCGTGAAGGGCGGGCAGTTGGTCGCGTGGAGTTGGACCGAGTGGAGGTGATAGCACAGCATGAGGCTAGGCAGTGACCACCATGGTACTGCAGGGCTATGTAGTGGGGGTTAGGCCAGGGTGGCAGCAGGGCAGGAGGGTGTCATTACTGACCCGGTAGCGCTGGGACCCTGGGCGCTACCCAAGGTCTTGTCTGGAGTATGTGGGCCCTCTCAGGGCCTAGTTTTTAAAATTGATTTTAGAGAGAAGGAGAGAGAGAGAAAAAAATCAATGTGAGAGAGAAACATCTGTTGGTTACCTCCCGTGTGCACCCCAACCGGGGATCGAACCTGAACCCCTGGTATGTGCCCTGATGAGGAGTCAAACCCACCACCTTCTGGTGTACAGGATGACTGAGCCACCACCCAACTGAGCCACCCGGGGGCCTGTGCTGGGTTCTTAACTAGGCCTTCCTACACTGGGCTCTCTTCCTCCAGTTCAGGGCTCGGCATGGTTGGTGGACCAATGCCTGATTATGTGAAGTTTAACGTGAACATAGATCCATTCAGTGGCCTATTGTTGTGGCTGCTTTTGTGCTAAGACATAATTGAGTGGCTGTGACAGATTGCATGGCCCATCCAGCATAGAATATGTACTATCTCACTCTTTATAGACAAAGTTTGCTGACCCTAACTCTAGCTGACCCTGTGTTCTGCCAAAACCTCTGGTCTTCTCTCTCCTGAAGCCTGGAATGCCAACCCCTTTGAGCTCTGGAATGTCACCCCTCCTCCTACTTAGCACACACACAGACCACCTGCTGTTGTAGTCCGAGCAGTGGTCCTAGGTCCTCTGGCAGTGTACCTGTCACCCTGCTATGCACACACTGATTGCAGGGGGTATGACCTTCCCTTGCAATACAACGACACGTGTACTGGGTGGAAAAGGCTTCTGCTAGAGATCAATTCCCTTCTTGTTGAAGCCTATGGAGAAAGTAACCTATGAAGAATCCAGGGCAGTGTCCTTCAGAAGGAAGACATTTTAATCACCAGGGTGTCTATCACATGTCACAGTTGCTGTGACAAAGCCCTTCAAGCAGCTTGGGACTGAGCCAAAGTGGCCGGCTCTGGCCACTTGTCTTTCCTTGTCTGGAAACCATCACCCTGCTTTCCTGGAACCTAGCCTGGCACAAAAAGGGGCTCAGAGACTGCAGATTGAACCAAGCTTTCTGCCAGGTCACCAGAGGGCACCTGCACGCCTTCCATTTCTGGGAAAGCAGCCACCATTTCTGGATTCAACAGAAGCTTCACACAGTGCTTTATGACTCTTCTCTAGCAGGTGGGCATCAACTACCAGCCCCCCACTGTCGTCCCTGGGGGAGACCTGGCCAAGGTGCAGCGGGCTATGTGCATGCTGAGCAACACGACCGCCATCACCGAGGCCTGGGCCCACCTGGACCATAAGTTTGATCTCATGTATGCTAAGCGAGCCTTTGTGCACTGGTATGTGGGGGAGGGCATGGAGGAAGGGGAGTTCTCTGAGGCCCGGGAGGACCTGGCAGCTCTGGAGAAAGATTATGAAGGGGTGGGTGTGGATTCCGTGGAAGCAGAGGCTGAAGAAGGGGAAGAATACTGAATGGGAGAGTCCGGCTGGCAAGTATACCTCTCTTCTGCTCTCTCCTGCCACCCCTCAGCTTGACTGGTTTCAGGTTGTTTGCTATTAAAGTTTCTATATCTACCCTGTCTGCTGTGGTGCTCGACTGGGAGACACTCGTCTGCCCCCAGGAGTGGATAGGACCCCAAAACCTGCAGCCTTGTGTGGAAGGCTGGTCTGGGCTACACGGTGCTGTGCTTTGGGGTAGGTGCAACACTACCCACACCTGTAAGGAGCTACTGCTTACATGGCATGACCCCAGGGGAAACAGTATTTCCAATCCAAGATTTCAAAGCATTAACATTTACTACATTTTTGGAAAATTGAGTTAGGTTTTTCAATTGAATTTGCCATTTTTCAGGCTTGTCCACTGATGAGACACATAGACTAAAGTACAAAAGCTTGGAACTGGAGTTTTAGAATCTGAAGTCCATGGAAGGGGTGGGGATACCCACAGAATCCCTAAAACTCTGGGTCAGATGTGTAAGGTCAGGGCATTTTGGGGGTGATGGGTTTTATTGGCTTCTAACAGGTTAGAAGCTCTGTACAATTCAACTTTGTCCTGTCTGTGGTAACTTGACAATGTTCCCCCCTCCGTGCTCAACCCCCTGCCACCACTGCACCTGAGCACCCTGGGAATGGTCTCAGAGTCCCTCCTTTCACTTTGAGCAAAATGCGTTGAATTCTGTTAGTAAAAGACCTAATAATATGGACCTTTTCTCTGAGACTGAGACTGAGGCCCAGGAGGACGAAGGCACTGGTTTCAGTCACTTGGTTAATTGAGTGGTAGCAGCTCCAGGATCAGCACGCACACAAATTCTAAATATCTGTGCCTTAGTATAGTCAAAAGATGACAGAAAACATCTTGAATGGACCCTCAGTTTTTCAAAAAGGTTTATTACCAACTGGAGGAAATAATACATGACCTCTGTTAGGAGGCCGTGGAGCCCACAGCAGGTGGGGGTGGCAAGTCTCTGTTTGGCTCAGGTACTGCTCCGGGTGGGGCTCTTCCCTGGCCCGCCCCCCTTGGGCAGCCTGGTAGCACTGGGCTGTCGGGGCATCCTCTGGCTGGATCCTTCCCGGCAGCTTCGTTCTGCCAGGGCTGGGCCTCCACCAAGAGCAGTGCTGCCTTTGTTTCTCCCTGTGCAGACACAGAAAACAATCATTAAGAACCAGGGCGAACTCCACAAAGCACAGTGCATCTCTATTTGTGTTCCTTGAGCAACATTTACATCTAGTACGTTTCTGTCACAGTCCTTTCCACCGGGGACCCTATGTCAGCCCAGGATTCTGAAGACTACCTGGAATTGGGCAAGACCAGTCCTTGGCAGAGTGCAGGAGGCCCTCAAAGGTGTCCTAGGATGGAAGTCGTGCCAGGAGTGGGGAGGAAAGTGTCAATGGTCAATTTAGGGGAAGGGAAGCTCAGCACTGACTCCTGCCCTGGGAAGCCTACGGGGTCAGCTAAAGCTGCCAGCAGCACAGGAGGGCTCACTACCAGCAGGGCTGCTGTCTCACTGCCCCCAGGCACTCTCCTCTGGATTACCCACGGCTGAGTCCATCAGACATAAAAACCACGGGAGCCATCAGCAGGTGACGAAGTCAGGCTTTTTGATCTGGATCTTGGAAGCTTTTTCTCACAGATTTTCCTACCTCCCTTTATTCTGCAAACATTCAGTGGTCAAGCCTCTTGCTCTCAGGTTCACTCCCAGATCCCGTGGTTGGGCTCCTGCAGAGGCCTGACTGCTCAAGACCTGCTCTGACCCCTGGGTAGTCACACTCAGATGGAGACTACTGGTCTATTTCGTGTTTTGTAATTTGCTTATTTCTCTTTTTTTGTGAAGACGTTACCATACCTGGACTAGAGCTTTATTTTAAATGAGTGACTTCCCTGGGCTCAGGGTGTTGACAGCATCAGCAAGACTAAGAGGACCCCCCAGGGGACAATATGTACTGGTGAACAGGCTCACACCCTGGTTCACAGTTCCTCCCTTTTAGGCCAGCCTCGGCCAGGGTCTGCTCTGTGGGCTCTGACCAGGATATGTGTCCCTTGCTTGACTCCCAGCCTCCCTCAGGGTTCACAGTCAAATAGCCTGCCTCAGGGAAATTGTGAATTCTTGGAGGAAAGATAGAACAAAGTTTCTTAGGGACCTCTTAAATCATTTCTGTTTCATCATTTGTCACCTTGAACAAGCTGAGGCACCTGCATTTGAGACTCTACAGGCCCTGGCTCCTGTAGGACATCCTCACTTTCTATGCTCTCTAATACTTAAAACTAAGTCCTTCCCAGGATTCCTGAAGGGATATGACTGCCCTTCTTAAGAGAATTTCTGGAATGTTTTTCCTCAGAGAGCGGGATCTTTGCTGCCTGGCGCAGTGGGAAGGGTTACAGCGGTGCCTTGCCTGGAACCTAGGCAGTTCATTCCCCTGCCTCACCTCCCTGGACTTCACATTCAAGTGCTCATGTGCACTTGATCTGACGGAGATGTAATAACAGGTTACCTAGAGCCGAGGGGGAACAGACAGGAACATGTTGTGGGCTAAAGCTGGGTCAACTCAGCCTGCTTTAAAATTGGACAAGGCCAGTGATTCACAAAAAACACACAGAGAACTGTCATCCACATTTTCTTTGGTACAAATGCCAATATTCTGGTCAGTGGGCAAGGATCCCTGTGAGTGCATGAGCCCCGCCAACCTGCAGCATCTCCTAACATGCTAGTGTCCAACTCTGAGGCCACAGCACCTCCCCAGGCTGGGCCATGCGGAATTAGGTCTCGTAGCATCAGGGTTAGGGATCCTAACCCTGGGTTCCTGGGCATCCCACAAACTCTCGACAAGGGGCATTAGCTGAAGGACTCAGAAATACAGCTCAGGCCCAGCTCACCCCCAGCAAGTGACAGGGTAGGTCTCGGGTGGGCCTGACTTTTAAGCCAGCTTCTCTTCAGCCTGTTACACGAGTTCCCCCTTCCCCCCAGTGTAATGACAAGGGTCCTTCTGAATCTTGAGGATGACAGCAAAATAGAAAAGGGCAAATGTTTCTCTAAATTTGACAAGGCCCTAAACCCTGGAAATGACACTACCATGACTTTGAGTCACAGAAGGTGTTAAAACCATCTAACAATGAAAGACCATTTATCCAGCTCTGTGCGATTCATGGAACCCTCAGGAACCCTGTGCTCCTGGGGTGAGTGGGGCGACCCATTCAGGCCTCTTTAAGGAGCTGGAGGGTGAGGGTGGAGGAGGGTGGTCTGCGGGGCCTGAAGTGGGAAGACCTGCTGCATTCAGCTGGGCTCAGGCTTAGGCTCAGCCATGCCCTCCCAGGGGAACCAGCACGGGACTTTTTGGAGCTGGTCACATGGAATGGAGGGTGGGGTTGAGCCAAGGATGACCACAGGCTGGGGAGGGGTGGGGATATACCCGGTTCCTAAGGGCACAAGGACAGACGACATCACTGAATATTAAAAAGTGGTCTGACTTACTGTCTTCAAAAGTCCGTGTTCCTCCTATCCCTAAAACCAGCTTGTGTCTACTCAGGGTTTTGTGACCCCCTAATGAAGCAAACTCCCAAAACACACCAGCCAATTGTTCCCGTGATGTGGGAAGCCCCCGAAGCTGGGGAGATGGCCAGACCCGGTGGGACCCTGTATGTCATTTACCTTTGGTGTGGCCAATGTAAGTCCCACTCACTATTCCCTGCAAGCTCTGCCAGCAGAGCTGGTTAGGAAAGAGGATTTATAAAAAATCGAGCAGGAGCTACTGGTCCCCAAGAGAGGTCTTTCTCCTTTGTGATCACAGTGCCCCCTAGTGGTGGAATCAGCCAGTGGCGCCACCAAGGCAAAATATTAGTGACTGGCCCTGAGCATGCACTTGAGTGCCTGTTGTGTAAGGAAGGAAAAGAACGGATTGTGTAGGGAGGACAGGTGAGTGAGAAATGAGGAGAGGGGAAAAAAGCACTATAGCCCTGCTCCAGGAGTGCACTACACCCTGGCAAGGCAGCACCGCAGGTCACCCAATGTATTCAAGGCCACTGGCCGTTGCTAGAGAGTCAGAGAAAGGTCTGCATCCACCAGCTAGTTCTGCTGCCCTCTCTGGTTGGGCACACAGTAGGGGCTTAATCAGTGCTTCCAGAACACATACAAACAATGACAAAGATTGACATACCACATGAATGCGCACACGTGCACTTTTAACCCTTAACTTAGCCTATGCTTCTTGGGGGGTGTTTGCCCTTGCAAGACCCCTCCCCGAATGGCACACAGCACTGATGAGGTGTTTCAGGAAAGTGTTACTGTCAATGTTCTGGAGCAGCGCCGTCCAACAGAAATATAATGTAAGCCCTCTATATAATTTTAAATTTCCTAGTAGCCACATTAAAAAGTAAAAATAAATAGGAAATTAATATATTTTAATTAACCAAAATATCCAATATATTATCATTTTAACACATACTCAATATATAAATTATTTGTGAGGTGTCACATTCCCTTTCTGGGCCAATTCTTCAGCATCTGGGCCTGTGGTGTACTTATATCCTCAGGGCCTCTCAAGAGCACCAACCACCCTGGGGCTGTGGTTTCCCTATTGGACAGTGCAGCTCCACGCGAGGCTCATGGCTCCACACCAAACTTCACCTTACACGTTCTGGATGGACAACTTTTTAAAACTTAGTGTCCTTGAACTTCAACAAACAACACTCAATTAAAATTTTCCTCAGTGACTCCACATCCTCCCTGTGACAAAAATTACCCCTCTGTGCTTTTGGGGGTCTTGTTTCCCCTTTTTCTGCCAAAAGAGGCAGACCCATGGCCTAGAGCAACTCTACGCTCCAATTCTGTGGGAAACGTAAGGCTGTTTGGCCCCAATAGTCCCAAACCCCCATTGTCTTCCTCGGCCACCATGGTCCCCACAGCAGGGTCACTCTGACAACTCTTATCTTCTCTATCCCAGATCCTGAGGTGGAGATTAATGAGGCAGCTGGAAGATCT